TCGCTGCCCTTCGTGGCCCCTTCGCTGCCCTCAAGTGGCCTCGCTGTCGTACTTTGTGGCCCCATATGAGTCTGCTCTTCTCGTTCGCGCCCGTCGTAGCCCCATATGCGTACGCCCTTCGTGGCCCTGCTGTCGCCCTTTTGTGGCCCCCTCGCTACCCTTCGTCTCCCCGGTGCTACCCGCAGCGGCCCTGTCGCTGCCCTTTGTGGCCCCTCATTATATGCCCTTCGTGCCCCCCGCTCGCTCGCGCCCTTCGTAGTCCCATGCGCATGTCCTTCGTGGCCCCGCTGTCACCCTTCGTGGCCCCCTCGCTGCCCCTCGTGGCCCTTCGTGGCCCTTTTGCTGCCTTCAGTGGCCCCGTTGTCGCCCTTTCTGGCCCCATATATGTATGCCCCTCGTGGCCCCCGCTCGTTCGCGACCGCCGTGGCCCCATACGCATGCCCTTCGTGGCCCCGCTGTCGCCCTTCGTGGCCACCTCGCTGCCCTTCGTGGCCCCGTTTCTGCCCTCAGTGGCCCCGTCCTTGCCCTCTGAGGTCCCATATACGTACGCCCTTCGTGCCCCTCGCTCGTTCGCGCCCTTCGTGGCCTCGCTGTCGCCCTTTGTGGCCCCCTCGCTGCCCTGCGTGGCCCCCGTGCTACCCACAGAGGCCCCGTCGCTGCCCTGTGTGGCCCCGCATTATATGCCCTTCGTAGCCTCCGTTCGCTCGCGCCGTTCGTGGCCCCTTACGCATGCCCTTCGTGGCCCCGTTGTCGCCCTTCGTGCCCCCCTTGCTGCCCTTCGTGGCCCCATCACTGCCCTCGGTGGCGCCGCTGTCGCTTGTTCTGGTCCCATCTATGTACGCTCTTCGTGGCCCCCCCGCTCATTCGCGCCCGTCGCGGCCCCTTATGCATGCCCTTCGTGGCCCTGCTGTCGCCCTTCGTGGCCCTGCTGTCGCCCTTCGTGGCCCCCTCGCTGCCCTTCGTGCTCCATCCTCCTTCCTCCCCCTTGTCCCGTCCTTTTATCCGTTCTCTTCCCGTGCCTTAAGGGCTGCTCGCAATACACGTTGCAGGTAAGACAACTACACCCCTAAGGGGGTACGATCGAAGACGAAGAGGGCGGGAGTCGAGGGTTTGGAATCGACATGTTGAATGGCACGCGAGCAGATAAGAGCGAGCAGTCTTAAATTGATTGTTGCGGTCGATGTAGTTGTTGTTATTGTTGTTGTGGTTGATGTTGTTGGTGTTGTTGTTGTGGTGGTTGTTGTTGTTGTTGTTGTTGTTGTTGTCGTTGTCGTTGTCGTTGTCGTTGTCGTTGTCGGTGTTGTTGTCGTTGTCGTCGTCGTCGTTGTCGTTGTCGTTGCCGTCATCGTTGTCGTTGTTGCGGTTGTTGTTGTGGTGGTGGTTGTTGTTGTGGTTGTTGTCGTTGCCGTTATCGTTGTCGGTGTCGGTGTTGTTGTTGTCGCTGCTGTTGTTGTTGTCGTTGTTATTATTGTTGTTATTGTCGTTGTTGGTGCTGTTGTTGATGATGCTGCTGTCGTTGTTGCCGTTGTTCTTATTGTTGTTGTTGCTTTCGTTATTGTTGTTGCTGTTATTGTCGTTGTTGGTGCTGCTGTTGATGATGTTGCTGTCGTTGTTGCTGTTTTTCTTATTGTTGTTGCTTTCGTTGCTGTGGCTGTTGTTGTTGTTGTTGTTGTTGTTGTTGTTGTTGTTGTTGTTGTTGTCGTTGTTGATGTTGTTGTGGTTATGGTTGCGGTTATGGTTGTTGTGATTGTTGTGCTTGTTGTTCTTATTGTTGTTGTTGTGGCTGTTGTTGTTGCTGCTGCTGTTGTTATGGTTGTGGCTGTGGTTATGGTTTTGTGGTGGTGGTGGTGGTTGTGGTGGTGGTGGTTGTGGTGGTGGTTGTTGTTGCCGTCGTCGTCGTCGTCGTCGTCGTCGTCCCCCCCGCGACTCGGCCCGCGACCCACCCGCAACCCACCCGCGACTCACCCGCGACTCACCCGCGACCCACGCGCGACCCACCCCGCAGCCCACCCGCGACCCCCTCGTGACCCACCCGCGATCCTCCCGCGATCCACCCGCGACCCAGCCGCGACCCACCCCGCAGCCCATCCGCGACCCACCTGCGACGCGCCCCGCGACCCGCCCGCGACCCACCCGCGACCCACCCGCGACCCGGCACGCGACCCCCGCGACCCACCCCGCGACCCACCAACATCGTTTCGAGGAAAAATCGGCGCCTGCGGCGAGCTCATGGCATGAGTTGTACAAGTTAGGCGCCTGTGTGGATCCGCAACTGCGGGGTGCTACGTAGTTGCGGATAAGAGTGAGCTTGTGTATAAAGAACAATTTGTTGCCGCTTGCCCTGGCAGGTGGCCGCCCTGGACGCGGTCAAGCGCGGCACGGACGGTCAAGGACCGGCCGTGCATGGCCGAGGAGGCGGTCGGTTCTTAGGGGGCGTGTTCGAGAAGGAAGGAAGCGAAGTGGGCGAGGAGTAAGAGGAGGAGGAGGAGGAGGAGGAGGAGGAGGAGGAGGAGGAGGAGGAGGAGGAGGACGAGGAGGAGGAGGAGGAGGAGGAGGAGGAGGAGGAGGAGGAAGAGGAGGTCCTCCCTCCATGCACCCTCTATCCCTCCATCCTCCTCCCCCCATTCATGTTCCCCTATCCTTCCCCCTCCCCTGCCCCCTCTTTCCTATTCCAGCCCTGCTGATCTCTCGAGAGCCTCCTCCTCCTCCTCCTTTTCCTTCCGTTTTTCCTGGGGTTCCAACCACGCTCCACCCTTCCTTCCTTCTCGTCCTCCCCTTCGTCCTCCACCCCGGCTGGCGTCAGAGGACTGGCGCTGTGGGACCTGTCCAGGAACGTCGCCCACGAGGCTGCCGAGCGCCGCTCTGGGGGGCCCCTCCTGCTCCCCATCTCCAGTTTTTGCGCCCACTGCTGCCTCCGTAGGAGGAGGGAGCGAGGAGTGAGGAGCAAGGAGGTGGAGCGAGGAGGAGGAGGCGGAGGAGGAGGAGGAGGAGGAGGAGGTAGCATGAGGATGTCTGTGACGATGATGACGATGATGATGCTGATGACGATGACGATGACGATGATGACGATGATGATGATGATGTTGATGCTGATGATGATGATGATGATGATGATGATGATGATGAGGAGGCTGATGAGGATGATGATGAAGGGGATGATGATGATGATGATGATGATGATGATGATGATGATGATGATGACGATGCCGTTGCTGATGATAATGAGAAGGCTGATGATGATGCTGATAATAACAACAATGATGATGACGCTGCTGCTGATGATGCTGATGATGATGGTGATCGTGATGGTGATGCTGATGATGATGACGATGCTGATGATACTGCTGATACTGAGGATGTTGATGATGGTGGTGATGATGTTGATGATGATAATGATGCTGCTGATGCTGATGATGATGGCAATGATGATGCATACAATGATGATGATGCTGATGCTGATGCTGATGATTATGCTGCTGATGATGATGATGATGATCATGATGATGCTGATGATGATGATGATGTTGATGCTGATGCTGATGATGATGATGCTGATGATGATGGTGATGGTGATGGTGATGGTGATAATGATTATGATGATGCTGATGATGATGACGAGGCTGATGCTGATTATGATGATGCGGTTGATGCTGAAGGTGATGTTGATGATGATGATGCTGATGATGATTATGATACTGATGATGATGATAGCGATGATGTTACGGTGATGCTGATGATGATGCTGATGACGAAGATGTTGATGACGATGAGGATGACGATGGAGTTGCCGATGATGATGCTGCTGATGATGCTGAGGCTGATGATGATGATGATGATGATGATGATGATGGTGATTGGTGGTAATGATGCTGATGCTGATGCTGATGATGATGCTGTTAATGATGATGATGATGATGATGATGATGATGATGATGATGATGATGATGATGATGATGTTGATTGGTGGTAATGATGATGGTGCTGATGCTGAAGATGATGCTGTTAATGATGATGATGATGATGATGATGATGATGATGATGATGCTGATGATGATGACAATGATGGCGCTGATGCTGATTATGATTATGTTGCTGATGCTGATGCTGATGCTGATGATGCTGATGACGATGCTGATGATAATGCTGCTGATGATAATGATGATGATGATGATGATGATGATGATGATGATGAGGATGATGGCGCTGATGATGATGCTGATGCTGATGCTGATCATGATGCTGATCATGATGATGATGATGTTGCTAATGATGATGATGATGCTGATGATGATGATGATGCTGATGTTGATGATGATGATTGTGATGATGGTGATGCTGACGACGATGATGATGATGATGATGCTGATGATGATGATGATGATGATGATGCTGATGATGATGACAATGATGGCGCTGATGCTGATTATGATTATGTTGCGGATGCTGATGCTGATGCTGATGATGCTGATGACGATGCTGATGATAATGCTGCTGATGATGATGATGATGATGATGATGATGATGATGATGATGATGATGCTGATGATGATGATGATGATGATGGCGCTAATGATGATGCTGCTGCTGATGATGGTGATGATGATGGTAATGATGATCATGATGACGAGGATGCTGATGATGCTGACGACGATGATAATGATGATGATGATGATGATGATGATGATGATGATGGTGGTGATGATGATGATGATGGATGGGAGGAGGAGAGGAGGAGGAGGAGGAGGAGGAGGAGGAGGGAGGAGGAGGAGGAGGAGGAGGAGGCGGAGGAGGAGGAGGAGGAGGCGGAGGAGGAGGCCGAGGAGTAGGAGGAGGAGGAGGCGGAGGAGGAGGAGAAGAGGAGGAGATTGCGGAGGAGGAGGAGGAGAAGCCAGGATGGGGATGACTGAGGCTCACATCCCGCGGCCGTGCCCCCCGTTCCGCCCCGCCCCGTGCTTGCTTGCCTGCTTGCCTACCGCCCTTCCCTCCTCTCGTGGGCCTGGATGCCGCATGCAGAGGCTCAGAGTCTCCGGCGCAGGTGCTTCCGTCAGTTTCCGGACTTCGCAGGCTGCCCGCACACAGAGGAGGGCTACGTCCAACACGGAACGCCACCCCGTGCACCACGATTGAAACCGTCGTCCCAGCCATGCGACCCGCCTGCAGGCCAGAAGATGTACTCCACGGTCTGGCTCACCTGCTACCACCGCGCTGCCCCGACCTCACCGTGCGAGAAATTGCCCAGCTGAGCGCAGCCGGACCCGAAGATCGCGAAGGACATGGTGTCGTTACTGCTGAAGACCCACGAAGGGATCCAGCGAGAGTGGGGGCAATGGACGCTAAGGAGACACCTGGCCAGCCCGGGGGCCGCCCATGGCCCCGTACCGCGGCAGCCTCGAGCATGGAGCGAAGCAGACTGTCGCGACTTCCTGGCCACGATCTACCCGGGTGACGTCCTGGCGGACGGCGTCCCTGGCCAGACGCTTCCCATGGAACGGCAGAAGGGCAGCCCTTGTCCACATTGTCAACCACCTCGCCAAGAAGAAAGGGAATAGAGGAGTCGAGCGCCCGGATGGGCGCCTCTCCGCACCTGGCTTGGCACCTCTTCGGTGTTCTCCCTCACCTCTCCTCCTTGCGACGTACCTCCCGTTTGGGACGCGCGTCCCTCACGCATTGTTCTTTGCGCCACTTCGGTGCTTCTCTGCTGCGCCACGCTGGGCCGCCCATCGGGCCGCCCAGCCTTGTTACCCGGCTTCTGCACCTTGCGGTGCTCCCAGCCGCCGCCCCCTCGCGACGTACCTCCCGTTTGGGACGCGCGTCGCTCATTCGCTGTCCCCTGCACCGTGTCGGTGCTTCTCTGCTGCACCACGCTGGACCCGGCTTCTGCACATTTCGGTGCTCCCCTCTTTCCGCGGCAGCCCCGCGCTGCCTCCTCCCGTTGCGATGCTGTTCCGCCCTGCCGCCTGCGGGCGCCTGGGACGGTTCGCCCGCCGCCACCTGTCACACCCCTCTTTGCCCTTTGGCCACCTGACGCGGCCTTGGGCGGTCACGCCACCATACCCCTGTCGCTGCCAGCCATCTGGCTGTGTGGCCACGTCCTTCCGGCAGCCCCGCGCTTCCTCCTCCCGTTGCGTTGCTGTTCCGCCCCGCCGCCTGCGGGCGCCTTGGACGTTTCGCCCGCCGGCTCCTGCCCCAACTCTCCCGGCCCCCCGGCCACCTGGCGCGGCCTTGGGCGGTTACGCTAGCCATCTGGCTGCATTTCTCCTGCCTCCGCACAGCTCGGTGCTGTGCCTACTCCTCGGCGCGCCGCGGTACCTCTGCCGTTCGTGGTGTCCTGGCAGCCGCCCTCCCGCCACCCTTGCCACCGTGGCTTGCCACGGCCGCCCACTGCGCTCTGGTCCTGCGCGCTTGGCTGCTGCCGCCCCTCCCGCTGCTCATCGTCGAACTCTTCGACGTTTGAGCGTCCCTTCTTCCTCTCGGCCGTCCCCCCTCTTTGCCCGCTGGCCAATCCGCTAGATAGTACCCCGTTTCTAGCTTCTCGCTGGAGCCGAGTTCGCCGCCTCGCCGTTGACGAACAAGTTTGTAGTTCTAGCGCCGGATACATTCCAGGCGGAATCTGCACCATCCGCCAGCTGATTGTCCTCCTCCTCCTCCTCCTCGTTCTCCTCACTCCTCCGCTCTGTGGTGCCGCGCTGTCAGTCCAGCCTGGCTGGATGGTTGGAGGCCAGGCCGCTCGTCGTGAGCACGCCGTTTCCCCTCCGCTTCTCCTCCCTTCTCGTCGTCCTCCTCTCCTCCGTCCCCCCCTCCTCCGAACCGTGGCGCCCCATGGGCCCCAGGCCGACAGGGCGCTGTGATGCTAGCTAGCTCGAACGTATCCGTCTTGAGCATCGTGAGAAGAGGCTGCGAGCGAGTACGGAGGTACGGCGGCTTGGGGTCAGGGGGCACTTCGCTTCGCCAGGCCACCCATTTCAAGGACTCCGAATGTGGAATGGCGCGCGTTTCTTGACCAACTTGCCAAACACTGGCCCAGTTTCTTGAGCACGGTCGCCCCTTCAGCGTGGACAGAGGATGATTATGATGATGGTGATGGTGAGGATGATGGTGATGATGATGATGATGATGATGAGATAGAGGAGGACGATTAAGAACCAGGATGAGGATGACTGTGATGATGATGATGGTAATGAGGAGGAGAAGGAGGAGGTAGAAGAGGAGTCAGGATGAGGATGACTCTGGTGATGATGCTAATGAGAGTGAAGGTGATGATGCCGGTGATGATGCTGTTGCTGATGATGATGACCATCATGATGATGACGGTGAGGAGCCATGACGAGGAAAAGTGTGATGACGCTGAGGATGACGGTGGTGATGATGACGACAATGGTGCTGATGTTGACGATGCTGGTTGTGATGATGACGATGATGATGCTGATGGGGATTAGTGGTCATAATGATAATGATGCCGATGATACTGATGATGCTGATGACGTTGATGACGATGATGGTGATGATGATGATGATGATGATGCTTCTGATGCTGATGCTAATGCTGCTGCTGATGCCGAAGCTTCTGCTGCTGGTGATGATGATGGTGCTGACGACGAGGATGAGGAGAATGAGGAGAACAAGCCGCGATGAGGATGACTGTGATGCTGATGCTGATGATGCTGCTGCTGATGATGATGTTGCTGATGCTGCTGCTGATGATGATGATGACAACGATGATGACGATGCTTCTGATGATGCTGATTATTCCGATGATGATGCTGATGATGTTGCTGATGATGATAATGATGATGATGCTTATGCTGCGGGTGATGATGATGATGATGATGAGGCTGATGATGCTGATGATGCTGATGAGGATGACGATGATGCCTATGATGACGATGATGATGATGATGATGATGATGATGATGCTGATGATGATGAGTATTATGCTGATGATGCTATTGATGATGATGGTGATGATGTTGCTGATGCTGATGATGATGGTGGTGGTGATAATGATGATGATGATGATGATGATGATGATGATGATGATGATGTCGCTGATGATGCTGCTGATGATCATGGTGATGCTGACGACGATGGTGATGCTGATGATAACGAGGATGATGCTGCTGATGACGATGTTGCTGCTGATGCTGACGCTGACGACGACGATGCCGATAACCACGCTGCTGATGATGCTGATGCTGATGATGATGCTGCTGCTGATGATGATGATTATGATGCTGATGATGATGTTGATGCTGCTGCTGTTGATGATGATGATGATGATGCTGCTGGCGATGGTGACTATCACGATGATGATCATGATGACGATGTTGCTGTTGCTGATGATGATGAGGATGACGATGCTGATGATGATGACGATGATGATGCTGATGATGATGATGATGATGATGATGATGATGATGATAATGGTGTTGATGCTGATGCTGGGGATGATGATGATGGTGGTGATGATGATGATGATGATGATGATGATGATGATGATGATGATGATGATGATACTGCTGGTGGTGTTGGTGATGATGCTGCTGCTGCTGATGATGATGATGATGCTGCTGCTGATGATGATGATGATGCTGTCGCTGATGATGCTGCTGATGTTTATGATTATGACAACGATGCTGATGCTAATGATAATGAGGATGATGAGGATGCTGCTGCTGCTGCTGATGATGATGATGATGAGACTGCTGCTGTCGATGCTGCTGATGATGCTGATGCTGACGACGACGATTACGATCAATCCGATGATGATGCTGATGATGAGGATGCTGCTGATGATGATGACGATGATGACGACGATGATGATGATGATGATGATGATCATGATGATGATGCTGCTGCTGATGATGATGATGATGATGATGCTGTTGCTGATGGTAATGGTAATGATGGTGATCATGACGAAGAGTAGGAGGAGGACGAGGATTATGATGAGGAGGAGGAGGAGGCGGAGCGGGAGTAGGAGGTGGAGGAAGAGAATGAGGAGGGAAAAAATGATGATGAGGAGGAGGATGATGAGGAGGAGGATGAGTTAAGAGTCAGGAGTGAGGAGTGAGTAGTGAGGTGTGTGGGGTAAGGGGTGAGGGGTGAGTGGTGAGGGGTGAGGAGGTGAGAAGGTGAGGATGTGAGGGGCGAGGAGTGAGTATGAGTATGAGGAGGAGGAGGAGCGAGGAGGAGGAGGAGGAGGAGGAGGAGGAGGAGGAGGAGGAGGAGGATGACGTTGTGGAGGAGCGAGGAGGACGGGGAGGGTAGAGGAGTGAGGAAGGGAGGGAGCGAGGGAGGGAGGCAGGGGGCATGCAGGACGAGGAGAGGAGCAGAGAAAGGAGGGGGGAGTGGCATGAACGGCACCACTGACAGGGGACCTGGCTCGGCGACCCAGACCTCGTCGGCACGGCCTTGCCCTATACGTCGCAAGTCTCAGTCGAGCTGCCTCAGGTTCTCATGGCGTGAATGCGCATTCCTCGTGACCTACACCGCCCAAGAGCCCTTACATCGGTGGCGACCCCGAGTTCTCGGATTTTCGAGGCGAGCGGTTGGAGCATGTGTGGCATCCGCCTCTGCGAAGGTGGTCGGCACGCTTGTTACTCTTAGCCATGCGTTATCTGGGGGTTTGTGTCGCGCCGCTCAACGTGCAATATCGGACCTACAAACAACAATCCCGGACCTCCGACTCCCTGTTCGTTCCAGGCGTTGCGTTCGGGAGTTTTCGATCGTCTGGTTGTTGAGATAGATTTCGGGTCGTGGTTTGTGTACTACGGGTTGGCGTTTGCCCTGCTGTTCCTGTGCTGGGATGAAAGGGGAAGGGCGATGGATAACCAGGAGGAGCAGCAGGGAGATTGTGAGCAGAAGGGGGGGGGGGCAGGACCGAGAGTAGGGATCAGTTGGAGAAGGGAGGGGGATGAGGTGAAAGAGGAAAGGCGATGATTGCGATGGTTGCGGCGATGATAAGAGCGTAGATGGGGATGACCACGATGACTATGGTATC